TGTCCACCACACCAAGTGAGAACCGAGTATTGTAGAGACGTTTCGATTTCGCTAGAATCTATACTAAGGTGTCCCGCTGATACCGAGATTCATACGTTCAACCAGTCTGCCTGGCGCGCATTACTGCGGCCTGACGTGATAAAGCAATGCCAGGCGATCTACTGCACTGAATTACAATAAATGCCATTTCTATTTATGTAAAAAAAACTGCAACATAATTTTCCAACTAACAACAGGGGCGTATTTCATTCCCAACCTTTTAAATGGAGAATTTACTTCCTGGTGATATTAGGAAATCTTACGTTGAAGGAATAGGTTCAGTACACTAAGCTTCCGGTACCTTATACTCAGAAGTATAGTGGAATGAAGTGAACCTAAGCTCTCACCTATCCTTGTCAAATGATACAATCGCTTGTCACCCGTCACTTATGTCCATATGATGTCACCCAATGATTTGTTGGCGTGGAAGGTGTACAGCCTTGAAGAACAATGAAGACAGCAACGCCCCTCATCAGCCTCTATAAGTTGTCATCCCTCTCAGTCACCCAACAGTAACGTTCCCGTCACATCTCCTACACCACCTATTAGAACAAATTTCCTACTGTTACTGTGAGGGACGTTATGATTCAAGCGACGCTCGAATTCTACTTCCCCTTATCAGATACTAACAGTTCCTAACACATCCTGCCACCCATCAATGATGCTGCTGTCCCTTAGTTTACACTATCTTGGAACCAACGCCCTACTGTTGCTGTAACCCATGCTGCAAATTTGGTGATCCGGATTTTCTAATGCGCCTGATCAGATCCGATTCTACGGCTTTCCCAACTTTTGTGGGGGGTAGAAGCCATGGGAAGGATACCTTGTTGGGGGAAAAATCTTTCGCCACGTCATTGAGGGAAGCGCGTGCGGTGGTATAAATTTCATTTCAAGTGGCCTGACTGACCCATTCACCTTCCTTTGTGAGCCAGAAAGATACGTTAAGGTGGTACTTTGCTTGCATCATTGTTATCCTGTAGTTTCAGATGCCGTATACTTCTCGGCTTGAATATATGCCAGGGCTGTTCCCATATCAGCTGCGGGCAACTGTATGATGAGTGGGAAAATGGCGTTGCATTTACAACTTTTTTCTTGACCGTCAAAGTGAAACGCCTTCTACGACGTCATTATGAACAGGTGGTTGCACCACACGTCGCCAGTGGTTCGATTGATGAGAAGGTAGGTGAACTTGAGGATATGCCAGCTTTGAGGCAGTAAAGGTGGAAACATTGATGGACCCACGTCAGGCCGGCAAGCACCTTTCGCTTAGGTATCGATGACAATCTTTCCTCAGTTTCAGCGTCTCTGGTCAACTAACTCAATTGCAACCATGGACGAAGTCTATACTTGTCGGAGTGGCTGGATTCCGAAACCGCGACGAATACTACACTGCCTGCGAATCGTTGCCACATCTCCACAAAATTCGAATGCCAATGATTTTCCTGTTCGCCAAAGACGACCCTATAATCCCGAAATGTCTGTGGGAACCAGTGAAGGTAATGCGTCATGTTGTCAGATTCCCTCCCTACTATAATACGTCTAATTGGCGCCGTCCCACACACTGGCCTCCTCTGCCGACAAGGACTCCGCGCAAGCGGCGGGTGGTGGAAAAGTTTGCTGTCATGTGAGCTTGTCTCTAGTCGTCCAAAATCCATCAGCCGTCAAGCGGGTTAAAGAATTGGAGGTTCTGGAAAATGGAGTGCTAAAGCGCTAGTTAGAGTTTTTCGGCAGTTCCATCCCATTACGTAGTTTCGGCTGGTACACCCAGGGTACAGCATGGGGATGTGCGGGATGTCGG